TGTATTTCTCCCGGGAATTTTATATAATAAATTTACGAAATAAACTATTTAAAATTAGGTGACTTTTGTGTTGTGTTTTAAAAAGGTTTTTTTTTAAACCCAAACGGGGTCAGCCGCCTAACAGTGCGTAAACTGTACAGTTATCATTTGTTTATTATAGTAAGAAGCACTAATTATGGTGACGACTTAGGTTTTGAAGCCAGCTACCGCAAGGGAAACCCCAAGTGACTTGTGACACCAGTGTAGGTTTAAAAGGCCTTAGAATCCATTAACACTCATCTTCACTACTTGCAGCTTCCCCCAGGCCCCACTAAGACCGGGATAAACCCATTTCTAATACGATTGACTTTAGTATTCAAAACACAACCGGCACGCTCTGCGCTCGTCGACTGAATGCCGTGGCTCACCCAACGAAAGAGGATTATTCAACTACCGACCTCCGTTTATAAACCAAAGTCAGTTTAGTAGGTCGGTCTATAAACACTAGATGGCGCTCTTTATAATATTTGTTTTATTTTTACATTGGGTACTTCATTAGTACTAAAAACAAACTACCTTCTTTTAATATGTTTTTAAAATATCGGATTTTTTCTACAATATTGATGTGAACTCTAACATTATTATCGACTAACTTTTGCCCGCGGCTTCGCTCGCGTTAAGAAGTATTATTATTATTAGGTATATAGTTTTTGCGGCTTTACACAGTTACAGTACTTTCATACAAACTTTCATCACCTATTTTATCCCCTTAGGGGTGGAATTTATTAAAATCCTTACGTCTTAACATCTACCTGCATGCCAAATTTCAGCCCGATCTGTCAAGTGGTTTGGGCTGTGCGTTGATAGATCACTATGTCAGTCAGTCACCTTTGAGTTATATATATTTAGATTTGCAAATGTATAGGCATACGAAGCCGCAGCATAAGTGTATGTAATAATGTGAATATGCCAACAAAACACACGTAATGGCGTTCTCCCTTTGATTGATGTTTTTTGTTGTAATAAGAAACAGATCTGTAACGGTTTGGATAATGTGTTTTGTGAACAGCCTCTTTGAGATGCGCTTTTGTTCCGTGGTAATCGTTTAAGGCGGTAACTGGATGGTTGCGATGCGATGCGATGCGATGCGATGCGATACGATGCGTTGCAGTGCGTTAAAGTCACAGATTTCGGCCTGAATTATTATGTATGTGCCATTTGGGTATCATTTGATATGGGATATATGCCTGTGATTTGAAGGAACAAATGAATCTAATATAACCCGCTGGTTTACCAGTTTAGCACACCGCCTTTCTTTTCGATGGTCTCGGATTCGATGCCTAGCCTGTGCTAGGCATCGAATGCAGGCATTTGTTTTCTAGTACAGTATGTTTGTATGATTGTGAGTGTTTTCTATGTTTGTTATGTATTTACTCACAAAAAAATTAAGTAATTATATCTGTGAAAGTGTAACACACGCGTAATGGCGTTCTTCCCTTGATTGATTCTTTTTGTTGTGGTGATCTGTAACGGCCAAACCGTTACAGATCTGTCTGTAATGTGTTTTTGGATGGTTGCGGTGCGATGCGATACGATGCGTTGCAGTGCGTTCAAAAGTCACAGATTTTGGCGTAAATTAATATATATAATATTCATAAATAAAGAACCCAAAAAAATCCTATCTCATACCAAACATATATGTATATAACTGAGTACTTAATAAAATAATTATATATGCATGATATACAAAGCAACCAGATCAAAACATCAAATCAAAACACGGTGTAACTGCTCATTATCTTCTACTTCTTCCTTATCCCATTTATTTGTGTATAACTACTAACTAATACAAATATTTGTACCGTGCGATCGAAGCCGCGACCATCGGAAGTGCTAAACCGCTGCACCACCGAGGTTCCACGTATTCGACGTACAAAAATCACAGTGGCATTATCCAATAAATAGCATTTACGATATCTGTTCCACGTCACGTGGTATTCCCATCACGTCCGCGGACAATCAGCATTCACACGACACTGCTATTCGATAACATGTGTTTGTAATTTGCTCTTTCTACTAAGGTTTATGTGAGGGAAAGGACCGGAGGGCGACATTAGTATAGCTTACTATATCTCTATTGACGGTCTACCACAGTACGGTGTAGCACAACGCCTTAGTTCCGATGGTCGGTTAGATTCCTGGCACGGCAAAAATGTTTGTATTCATGAATATGATTGTTTGTATCTGTCTGGGTGTTTTCTATGTATAATATGTATGTATTTACGTACGTAGTTATCTAGTACTCATAACAAAAGCTTTAGCTAGCTTTACTTGGGACTACATGGCGCTGTGTGAATTAACTTGAGATTATTATTATTATCTATATCTGATGACTACATTATTGCGTATTCGTCAGGTAGTGGTTTGGGCTGTGCGTTGATAGATCACTATGTCAGTCAGTCACCTTTGAGTTATATGTATTTAAATATCAGTTGTCTAGTACCCATAACACAAGCTTGCTTAGTTTGGGACTAGATGGCACTGTGAGAACTGTCCTGAGATATTATTATTATTATTATTTGCTGATAACACAATTTTCTGAGGGGAAGGAGATTGTTAGTAATATGGACTAATAACCCCTTTGCTAATAGCAATGGAGACAGGTCCACCCCCATGTGGTTCACTCTCGAATCCATCGTGATATTATTCATGGTAAATTTACCACAACGGGCCAACTGACTGTACAATATTTATTATTGTACAGTCTTCCTTTGATGATATATATGTAATATATTATACAATAAAATAAATCAAAATCAAAAATAATTAATCATGTAGGACATTTTTATGAACGTAAATTTTTCTATATTAATATTTTTTCCCTACAGTCCACAGTTAAATATAGAGATTCAATTGAGAAGAACTGGCAAGAAACTCAATAGATTTTTTTAATAGCCAGTTATTTTACTTTGTGTATTTATGTAGGTGTCTATGTCTAACATTAAATGAAAATTCCGTGCATGAACTACTATTGCCATGCACGTTTATCATTCAAGTAATCGTTTAGTGTGTAATAAGTTTCCTCAGTAAACTATATTATATTTTTTATATATTTTAGAATATATATATTACATATATATATTAAATGAATACTTAGAAATGTAGTATGTAATTTAACCAACGAGTTATACAAGGTTAATTAGAAATTATCTCGTTTGTAAATAATTGTATTAAACTAAGATTAAACTAAATTTGTTTGTTAAGATTATGATCGTAGATTATTGTCTGCCCTTGTTTCGAGAGTAGTTTCATATTTCTACTCCATACTAATAAGACAGCGTAAGATTTTCTGTCTGTCTATTATATTTTTACTAAACGGCGGAACGTTTCTTAATGAAATTTGATGTAAAGATAGATAAATCACTTGAATAGACATAGATTATATCTAATCTAAAAAACAGACGTATTTAAGGGTAAGAACTGTCTGAAAGTATTGTTTGCTTGTTTGGATAGGTTATCTCTGAAACTGCCACTTGAATTCGAAAAACTTTTTATATTATTCTGTCTGTAATTATACTATAACTCTGAAATATACTATAATTTTTTTTACTTGTGTTATGGGTACTAGACAAGATGGCGTTGTGTGAATTGTCCTGAGATATTATTATTATTATTATTAAAAGTTTAAAAATGAATAAATAGGTTTTCGTATATAGATAAATAATTTATTTCTCTATTCAGATGAAACCGCGACGTACAGTTAGTCTGATATTTCGTCTTCAAATTTGTGAACGCAAGTTTACACGAATACAACTTTCTGATTAATTCAAGTTATATTCGAGACTCACTAAATGTATTTGGAATATTCGAGCGACAGCGCCGCAGATTATTCTGTGTTATGATTAAAGAGCATATATTTGAAACTATGTGTGCCCGCGACTTCGTGTGCGTGTTATAGTGAAATCGACCAAATAAAGAAAAACTATGAATATCATATTCATAATCAACAGCCTAAAAATGTGTGTCAAGCTACTAGTTTTAAATATTATGATATTTCCATACAAACTTTCATGTCCCCTTTCAACCCCTTACAACCCTTTTTCGCATTAAAAGGTAGCCTATGTCCTTTCTCAGGGTCTAAACTATTTGTGTACCAAATGTAATTTAAATCAGTTCTGTAGTTTCAGCGGAAACTGAGACAGACAGTTACTTTCGCATTTATAATATTAATCAGCATTAGAAACGTAATAGTGTCATGTATTATGTTAATAATATGACATTGGTGATAATTCAATATTGATTAAAATAGAATAAGAATAAAATTCTTTATTAAAATATAAGCACTTTTCAATCACACGTAGTTTTTTAATCTACTGCTTATTTGGAAAGCGACTCATCACAAAAGGAACGAGCGAGAAACTTGTGTGTTGCTCTTTTGTTAATATATTAATGTAATTTTACATTTTCAAAATGAAATGTATGAATATAAACTACCAAGTTGTACTAATTCATTGGAATCAAAATATTAAATACACAATCAACTAATTAAGTAATTAAATAAGATTAAATCAGTCATAGTGATTGGAGCAAACCAATCCCTACAAGCAAGGCCTCGCCTACTTCCAGCATCAAGCAGCTTGATATATAAGCTATCAGTTGAAGGGTGACATAAGATAATGAAATTACACAGCACGAAAGCATACCATCAAATTCAAATTCAAATTCAAAAATCATTTATTCATGTAGGACATTTTAGCCGCTTATGAACGTCAAGTTTTTACATTATATATTTTTTCCCCTACCGTCCAGTTCGTATATAGATCCAATTGAGAAGAACTGACAAGAAACTCAATTGAATTACTTTTTTTTTTATACAGTTTATTTACTGATACTACTACTAATACATAGGTATTTATATAGGTGTCTATGTCTAAGATTAAATGAAAAATTCCTAGTCCTGTGGAATGTTACAATCTAATATTTATGAAAAACAATATTCCAAATTATCTCGTCTTTTACAGATCCACCCTCGGCCCCTATGATCACTGGCTACATCCCCGGGACAACCCTTGCTGCTGGTACTGTACAGAAACTATCCTGCATATCAAGTGGCGGAAACCCCCTGGCGACGCTCACGTGGTTTAAAAATGATAAAAAGGTAAGTGAAATTATCAAGTCATAAACGAAATATTTCCTTTCGAAAGTACACTCTATCTTGAGGAGATAAAAACCATCGCTCCTAAGAATATCCTCCTAACAATTCTTGTCTTGTCCCTAGGCAGCGAACTCTGAAAAAGGGCGAGCACAATAGATCTATGTAGGTCGCAGTGCTACAGGTCCAAGCACCTAACAATATATCTGATGACAACATCTGTTTTTTTAATAGAGAATTGCAATAATTCATTTATTTATTCATCTGAGTCGTGGAGACAATTTATGTTAATTGGAAAGTTAAGTAACACTACAAATATTTCCAACAGATTCATGCAGTGACTAAAACTACGGACAAATCCGTGTCGAGTGAGATATCTATATTCACAAACGTCACAGACAACCAAGCTCAATATCGATGTGAAGCTACAAACAGCGCCACAGAAATACCCTTGTTCGAGACTGTCACGTTAAATGTACATTGTAAGTATAAAAACTAAGCTCATTTTATATTTCACTAGCTGTCCCGGCAAACGTTGTTTTGCCTTAAAATAAAAAAAAAATTTAGGGGTGGACTACCCCTAACATTTAGGGAGATGAAAAATTTCATGAGAATCGGTCGAGCCGTTTCGGAGGAGTATGGGAACGAAAACTGTGACACGAGAATTTTATATATAAGATAACCTAAACTTACCGATAAGTAAGCCTATTACATCCTCCGCTATAGAGATGCCCTTGTTCAAGACCTTGTTGCCTTAAATGTACATTGTAAGTATAAAAACTAAGCTCATTATATAGCTATATATATATAAGCCCTTATATTTCATACCTTAAGTTACTGATAAGCTAGCTCACACTCCGATACACACGTTAATTGTAAGTTCCACTACTGAAATACTTCCATTTCCATTCCATACGTTACACAGAGATGATCAAAAAGTACATTGGGTAATATTTATATTAATTACTAAGCATAAAATACAAAATTCTTTATTCAGGTAACACAATTTTTTAATATATGTATGTATCTACATATATATTAGCTTACTAATATCAATATTCAGATTATATAAATATTTAAAGTAACCATTCAGTTGTTGAAACCTCCTTTGCAGCATAAGAAATTTACTGCTCGGCATAAGCAATGTATAAATAAATATAAATTGCCAAGTAACTTCAATAACGAAAATAAATAACATTTAAGTAGTACAAATAATCTGTACGTAATTTAAAATTTTCGCTATGAACATAAATATATAAAGTTCCGAAGCAAGCCTAATCTCTTTTAAAAGTTCCATAAATTTTGAGCTTACTAACTAGTTTGAAGCAGCGTGTATTTAAGTAACGTATAATAAACTACAGCCACGTGCCATTACATAGTTGGCACTTTTGTACTTTGTCACATTAAACATTTATGTTAATTAATCTAATTTTAGTATTTGGAGATGCTAAAAATGTTACTTTGACAAAGCACCTTTATAAAACAATATGCTTTAACGATACACGTACCTTAATTACATTAATTAAATTGAACCTTCTCCATTGTTATACAAGTATCTTGCTACATCCATCTAGCTACAGCTCATGACGAGATGTATGTACATAGATGTCGCATATTCTAAAATAGAATGGCAATTTTTTAAATGCAAATTAACTTAATTTTGAAACTTTAAATAATTTTCTTTAATTCTATAATCCATTTAGAATGTAAATTCAGTTAAGAATTGGATTGCTGTTTCTTATAAAAAAGGTAGAAATTTTTCATTATTTCGATTTTGTGTGAATATAATTACAAAATGAAGTAAATATGATATTTGAGAGCATCCTTTGAACACACATGTATTTTAACATAGTAACTCCCACGTTATGAACACCAAAGACTTTTTGATAAAGACAAAGATATTGAATCTGGTCGACATGAAAAACTATTAGTTGACGGTAATGGAAAAGAGGTATAACATATTTAATACTAGAGAAATCACTAATGAAGGTAAAACAAACGACATGTTCACAAACAACAGCTAATTCGTTTACCCACTCCATATATAGTTATAAGATTATAATAGATAAACGATTTACTGATGCCTACAACAAAAATGACATAATAACAAACAAAAAACACATAACAACAAAAAAAGGATCCAAATCTGAGATAACAAATAAGAGTGATAAAACTACTAATGAATTTCTTTCTAAAACAGTTGCTCCTGAAGCTGTGAAGGTTAGAGCTGAACCTGAAGAGTTGAAGCCAGGAAACGAAGCAACCTTATACTGTGATGCTGCGTCCAGTAACCCACCAGCAACCTTGACTTGGTGGCGAGATGGAATACCTGTTCAAGGTGAGTACGACGACTTTATAAAGATGCTAAAGAAACCGTAGCCGACTTTACAGGTTCCATAAACAAAAATTGTGATAAGAGCAGAGAGTACTTAAAACCCGCAGAAGAACTTGTGGGGCGCCTGAAGTACAAATCCTGCCTAATAGAGCAAATTCTCCTTTAGTCTAAGGACTATAACTATAAGGGTCTAAAACTTCAGCCCATCATAACGTCGATTCTCGTTGGAATGGGACAGAGAATTGATCGGAGAGACAACGTCTATGCTCCAAGTACTCAAAATAATAAAAATGCTTATTTTTTAATATATATGTTTATAAAAACAGGTCTTCCAATGCAACTGAAGAAAGGTCTACATGGTGGAACAGTATCGACGATAGAATTAAAACTGAACATCACAAAAGATTTAAACGGAGCAGTGTACACATGCCAAGCAATGAACGAGGTGTTGCAGAGAAGTGTTCATGATGCACTGGCGTTAAAAGTATTATGTGAGTAAATATTATGTCTATATAAAATATAATAATAAAGGGATGGATGTAAAGGTAGGGGACGCCCTAAGAAAAGATGGATGGATTGTGTGAAAGATGATATGAATAAAAGAAGAGTATGTTTAGATATGACGACCGATAGAGAGCAGTGGAAGAGAATGACATACTGCGCCGACCCCAAATAATGGGATAAAGGCAAGGCAATGAAAAATAATAATAAAAACCCTGGAAGATCCAACGTCATCGAGTCCCAAACTAAGTAGATACGTTATAAACACACCAATAAATTATTTTTCATTTATCTATATTAATAATGTGGACTAAACATTACGTTATCACGTGACGCCCGTGATAATACTCATACGTTAGCATTCCGAAGAAAGCAGTCATGCCTCTTATCCTGCAGTTTTTTTTTTGTAACTATTACATATTTTTTTTATATTATGACTCGCCAAACTGCATAACAGTTTCTTGGCAAGATATAGCTGAAGAATTAAATATACATATATCCAGATATTTAATCAAATTAAAGTCTTTTTTTTTTAATATTTTTTTATTCATCTGAAAATATCCATGTAAAACTAATTTCTTATTTTCAGATGCGCCAATATTTGATGAAACTACACCTGACACAACAGTGGGAGTTGAGAATGAGCCTCTTATTATAGTGTTGAGAGCAGATGGAAACCCCGGCAGCATCACATACACTTGGACCAAGGATGGACTGCCTATTGCTCAGTCATCATACACTACAAGTAAGTATTAGTAATAATATCCTAACAATTATAGTCCATATTTTATCGAATTACCCACACGATGTAGCTTGGAAGACTTCCAAGATATGTATATTCAATGCTTGATGATGTCGTTCATAGACGAAACACGTGTCGCAATATGTGTGTAGACTCAATAACGGTCGGAATTTGATCACCACTAGAGAAGGTCGTAACGGTAGTCAAGTTTCCACACCGAATATTTGTGATCTCAGACATGCTAATTTTAGCGGAAGTTAACAGAATAATATAAATCTATTAAGTAGTAATTATAGTCTAGTTGAAACCCGTTACGCTGCCTGCAATATAGCCTATGTTATTGATTAATAACGTATATATTTGTAGGTAAAAAGATTTTATAAATCGGTTCAGTATTTGTTAAATTATCGTTATCGTTTAGAAACGTACAGATAATAAAATGTTTTTTCGTTTTTTATAATACTAGCTACTACGTGAAATATAGCCTGTCCTATTCTGATGTATAAACTATATTACTGTAAAGTTTCATCAAAATCCGTTCAGTAGTTTTTGCGTGAAAGAGTAACAAACATCCATCAATACTCACAAACTTTCGCGTTTGTAAGATTATAAATTACAAACCCGATCAAAGACAATATAATATTTTCAGTAACAACTTTACCTGACCATTGATTCCGAATAGAAGAAATGTTTGTAAAAAAAATATAGTTTGTATTAAAATAAGTACAATAAATTGTGTAATAAATCATAATGTTCGTAATAACAGATATCCTAAATGACTTTATAACTTTGAATCAGCCAAATTTTGATAATATCCGTTAGTAATAAATAGTTTAATAACTGTTAAAAATATCACTTTTATCAAATTAATACTCACAAACTTCGTTCAGTTATTAAGTACCTATATTTCATTTTTCTTCAAATTTATTTACTCTATAATAGCGGAACCGTAAAGTATTTTCTTCCCTGATAAATTATATTAAGGAGCGCGCCCATAAAGAGATTTATAAACAAACTTACAAACGTTAATCAATTTTATTGATCAATTAAATTGTGACGGCATAAAAGTATAATCGATTTATGTTTTGTTCAAATTTACAACAACAGTTTATTTTGTGCTATTTATGTAATGTTACAAAATATTGGTACTATATACCCGCTCTGGCTTCGCGTGGGTGTACATGTATTATACATGTAAACCTTCCTCTTGAATCACTGAATCTATTGCTTAAGACTACTTTAAAATCCGTTGCGTAGTTTAAAAGATATATCCGAATAGACAGCGGAAACGATTTCATTTTGTACTATATAAAGTTTAATTTTTGCAAAAAAAAAACATTTTTTAATTTACTACATGTAGTTTTGCAGTATAAATACTTTATTGTTAATGAGTCAAATAAAATCAACAGTCAGAAATAAATACTAGAGAAACATTTATCAACATTTTTAAATTCTAATGAAAGTCAATTAAGCACAGTTTAGTTTTATTTACCTGTTCCAAAAAGCAAAACAAAAAAAATATGAACGTAAAATTATTTTGTACTATATTTTTTCCTACCGTCCAGTATCTTTAAGTTAAGCAAAAACAATGTTCTCTTTACAATCAAAATAATGTAAAAAAAACTAACAAAAGTCGGACAAGCCGGACACGCAATAAAAAGTCTAACTATGTCCGGCTTTATCCGGACACTTGGCAACACTATTAATAAGTCATATCATCCATATATGTATAAAACTCAGTCCAACAACGATAAATCACGACGATTCGAAAAAATCGCATTCCCAGTCACATTTCTTTATTAGATTTCCAATGAAACAATACCTTCAGGCAAGATCGATAAAAGCTATTACAGAAATAGATGAGTGCTCACTGAATAATGTATTGATTTGATGAAAGTCTTAAACAAAATCGAATATTATTAAACACATTTGTGTTGAGAATTCAGCTGAGAGTGCCCTTTTGTCTGTTAGTAATATTCGGATGTCTGGTAATAGTTTATGAGATCGGATTGACAAACAAGCTGACGATCTACCTTAGGGAAAATTATAACACGAACACAGCTTATAAAACAACTTACTGCTATTGCAAACAGAAGAGTTTTTGAAAATTGTTCGTATATTCATTATTGCACTTAGAAAATACAGTATTGTAATAGTATAGAAATATTATGAACAAATGAGGACTTTGCTACAACATTTTTCGTCCAGTCAACACAAAACATTTTTTATTTAGATAATAATCAGAGCAAGTAACAAATACAATATCAAAAAACACTAATCATAAATTGTAAAATCCAAAACATACAATCTCATAAACTATTACCAGACATCCGAATATTACCAACAGACAAAAGGGCACTCTCAGCTGAATTCTCAACACAAATGTGATTAATAATATTCGATTTTGTTTAAGACTTTCATCAAATCAATACATTATTCAGTAACGATTGACAAACAAGCTGACAATCCACCTGATGGAAAATTATAACACCACACCTTATAAAACAATCTGTTTGACGCCAATAAAATACTATTATAACAAACAGGAGAGTTTTTGAAAACTTATGGATGTTTATATATTCATTATTGCACTTAGAAAATACAATAATATTATAAATTAGAAATAATATGAACATACAAGGACTTATTGCTAGAATATATTTAATTCAGTCAACCCAGAACATATATGGAATACATAATAATCAGAGCAAGAAATAAATACAATATCAAAAAATAGTATTTGTAAATTGTATAATCTAAAACATACTAAAACTATTGAAAGTTAAGTGAATATTAAAAGGTAATACATAAACACCAAAATAAATAAAATAAAACAGCATAGCTAAAAATAAAATAAAATAGGTTCACAATTTTCCTTACACAATTTTATTTTATTTTGTTAAAATTTAATCTTTGTAACAAAATTGATTAAATTTTAACAAAATAAAATAATATTTTAATTAATATTAAATCCTAACTACAGTATCAGTAATAGTCATCCATACGTAGCCTGTAGACATACTGGTTATGTAGAAAAATTTGCTTCATATTTATATATCTTTTTTTTGACATTTCTCATTTATATTAGTGCACCGCCAACAATGTTTCTCTGCACAACTCATGGTTGCCTGGTAGATAACGCCACATGGTGTTACGTCCACCAATTGTTATTGTGCATTAAAGTTAAATAAATAAATATAACAGAAATATTCTATCATACTAATGTAATGAATAATGTTTGTTATTCTTTCACGCAAAAACTACTGGACCGAATCGAATGAAACTTAACACACTTAATACACACAACATATCTTACATTGGATTGATTAATATGAAACTTTCTTCTTCTTCTTCAAATACATTTAATTTAAGCACTTTTGAATAGTCATAATTTTTTTTTAATCTACTACTCATTCGGAAAGCTGTCTCATCATAAGAAGAACGAGCAAGAAACTTGTGTGTTGCTCTTTTAAATAATCCTCATAAGTTCACATTTTTCAAGTCGAAACGCGTGAATACAAACTACCAACCAGCACTAATTTATTAAGATCAAATATAAATACACAATAAGACTGAATCAGTCCTAGTGATTAGAGTCCTACAAGCAGCACTCGTTCACGAGTATGACGTATAGTCATCCATCACTGTGATGACTATCACCAGCAATCACTATTAACTAGTTAGATGGATTGTCATATGGGATATCTTTCTCAATTAACTGTGTTATACCTAGCTTACATTTTTTTTAACAGGTGAGAGAATAGTCTCTGAAGGCAGTATGCTGAACATCACAAGATTGTCAAGACATGATGCAGGAGTTTACATTTGTGAAGCAGTTAACTCGCAGGGTGCAGCCGTCGCTAACATTTCAGTATCCGTTCATTGTAAGTATTTACTAGTTAATTCTATGAAATTGAATCAATCATCAAATTCAAATTCAAATTCAAATTCAAATTCAAAAATCATATATTCATGTAGGACATTTTAGCCGCTTATGAACGACAAATTTTTACATTATAATTTTGTTTTTTCCCTACCGTCCAGTTCGGTATATAGATCCAATTGAGAAGAACTGGCAAGAAACTCAATTGAATTACTTTTTTTTTAAAGCTAGTTTATTTACAATGTATTTTTATATAGGTGTCTATGTCTAACATTAAATGGAAATTCAGTCCAACATATCCTTCAATTCCATCATATCTATATGCCGAAGAACTTTATTATGAAATACTAGATTTAACTTGCTATTCCTAAGTATTGTTTAGAAAAGTCAGTGGGTTTTTTTTATGGGAATAGGTATAAAAATTTACAATAAGATACCAAAGGATATACTGGAATTACTCTTAAATAAATTCAAAACATCTGTTAAATCATATTTACTCAGCAAGGCCTATTACTCACTAAACGATTACTCGAATGACGAGCGTACATGACAATAGTTGTACATGCACGGGATTTTCATTTAATGTTAGACATAGACACCTATATAAATATACATTGTAAATAAACTGGCTTTTAAAAAAAAAAAGTAATTCAATTGAGTTTCTTGCCAGTTCTTCTCAATTGGATCTATATACCGAACTGGACGGTAGGGAAAAAAATTATAATGTAAACACTTGACGTTCATAAGCGACTAAAATGTCCTACATGAATAAATGATTTTTGATTTTGAATTTGAACACTTGTTTTATACTGCATACTTATATAAAAATTAATTAACCATTTTAATGTTAGATATAGGCACCTTTGTAAATAAGCATTGTAAATATACTCATATGAAGAAAAAGAAATTCAATTAACTTTCTTGCCAGTTCTTCTGAATTGAATCTGTATACTGAACTGGACGGTAGTACATAAGCGTCCAAAATTTCCTACATGAATGATTTTTTAATTTGTATTTGAAATTAATTCAAATTTGAATTTATTGCAATAAACTTAATATCAGCACTTTTGAATAGTCATATTTTTGGTTCTACCATTCATTCGGAATGCAGATTCATCGCAAAAAAAATGAGCAAGAAACTTGAGTTTTGCTATTTAAATTGTTCCAAGGATCCTAGACCAAACTTCCCTCTTTATTCGTTTAGGTTTAACTAGATATATAGAAAAACTAGACAACTTACTATTTGGACCTCTCAATTACGTGCAGATACCAATTGTAATCGCAATTCTGCCATCCGTTAGTCATTTTCTCTCGACCATTGGTTGTGGTGAACGTAATAATTGAACTGACCACACTTAGCACTCACTTTAAATGGCGACCCCACCGCAGTCACTCAATTTATAATTGACTAGCTGTGCCCGCGACTTCGTCCGCGTGGAATATACGACGATTAAGGAATTTACATTTCATTCCCTATTTTATTTTACCACCTTAAGGGCAAAATTTATATCAAGTACTTTATACTTGCTACTTGCACCGGTTTCACATGGGTGTATATGTATTATATATATAAACCTTCCTCTTGAATCACTCTATCTATATAAAAAACCTTCAAAACCATTTAAAGATTTAAGCACATTTAGACGGACAGACAGCGACAGCGACTTTGTTTTATACTATGTAATGATGATGATGGTACTCAGGTAACATATTACTATTATGACTTGATACTGTAGTTTTCACTAATTTAGGATATTTTTATAGATAGTTTCTATTCATACAAATTCTTAAATATGTAAAGTCAATACTTGTTTAAAAGCCCAAAGGTCCCAATTTTGCTCATTTTTCTAATGCTGAATCTGCATTTTTAATGGGAACTTGAATAAAAAATTTAGTAAAAGTGCTTATATTTATTTGAATAAAGATTATTTCTATTTGAGATATCGTATTAACATCGCAGAGAGTATAGTTATAGTTCATCTTTTGTTGGTTGTGGTATTTAAACCTAAAATGTTGTAGGTTCGGTTACCCGACACCAAAAAACTTGTCTCTCAATTTATATTTCGACAGTTAATGTTCCTGAATACCCCATCTGGGAAAACATAGTGATTCAGTGTTGCGAAAAATTGCTTTCACGTTATATATCTGTTTTTGCTTTTATTACTTTTATTGTATATTTGTGAGCAGTTTTATTTATAGATCTACCTGCATGCCAAATTTCAGCCCGATCCGTCCAGTGGTTTGGGCTGTGCGTTGATAGATCACTATGTTTTTTTTCGGACTACTCTAATGCTGTTGGCCGTAGCTGGCCTTTACAGCTTCACCGGACGTTATGGGGCGAGTGCAGATGGCACTCCAAACCAAGGAAGGACTTATGGAGCGGCTGAAGGTCAACTCCTGCCCGACGGCTACGACTTTAGTCTGAGGGCACCACTAGGGGTTCGAACCTCGGCTCAGGCCGTCGTAATTTCGATCCCCGTTTGAATTGGACGGGGGATCGATCGGAGGGGATCGCTATGTCAGTCACCTTTGAGTTATATATATTTAGATATTGATGAATTTATTCATAATATAATAACAGTTCGGTGCCCTTTATGAAAGATAGACCTCTGTAGAAAATATTATAAGTTTATTAATAAAACTTCATTCGTGTTTCGCAGAATATAAAAGTTTTATATTAGTATAGTGGCCTTAATATAATTTAGTATAAATAGAGTAATAAATAAGAAGTATGAAATAATTAAATTGAAGACAAACACAATAATAAATCTAGTAGAAATGCCAATAATGTACAAATTCTTTATTGACTGTTATCTGCCTGGACGTATCTGTCTCGCCTATTTCAGCCTCCAAGCAGATTTCTCTTCAAATTGTTTTTCTGTTTAAAGTTTGAAATATTATAGTGAAATTATTAGATAATAATTACTGAGAGCTTAGTTCTAATAAAAGTCGATGAAGGCTAGTTTTGGAATATGTACAATCGGTAGTATTCTACGGTTACATTATCCACATTAAAAGCTAGTATTCAATCTAGTAACAGACGTAACAGAATCAATTTTTGTTATCCCATATTCATGTAAAGTAAATAGCATAAGATTTCGCTTTAAGGAGTTTTGCCTTCCCAGGTACAAAAATATGTTTCTTTTGTCCAAAAGTTCTGGACGGGACGGGAAATAATTAATTTAATTCTGTTACAGAACCTAATATGGTACTTTTAAAAATTTCTCCAAATCTTGTCCCTAAAGGTCTTATACAGCGAACTCTAAATAAAAAGAAAGCACAAGTAGATCTCTGCAGGTCGCAGTGCTACATGTCTAAAGTACCGAGGAATAGCCAAAAACCCATAATTAAAAAAAACTATTCAAATCTTGTGGCAAATAATAATTTAATAGAATTAAAATAATAGAATTAAATTCCAAATATATAAAAATAATTACAATTATTAAGAATCAAAATGAGCTCAATACTAACTTATAGGAACCTACACTTATTTTCATGACCACATCTGATGTGGAAAGTTCATCTACTATTAAGCCACTACTTTTTGCACTCCTAACGAGTTCCCCAATCACAAATGAGCCATTATCTTGATGACTAGTGATTTGTAAAATACTTTTGTTTTAGATTCAGCCAGTATAAAGTTTGTTGGTCAAACTGCTATAGTGAATCCAAATGAAGATGTAACATTATCGTGCGCAGCTACAGGTGAGTGGCATAGTCATTTTTATCATCTAATAACCGAGATAATCTTTGTAGAATAGAATATTGTCGCAATATGAGTGAAGATTCAATAACGGTCGGAATTTGATCGCCATTAGAGAAGGTCGTAACGGTAGTAAAGTTTCCACACCGAATATTTGTGGTCTCACACATGCTAAATATAGCGAAATTAAACAAAATAATAGTAGTGAAATGATCAAGTAGTGAAATTGACTTCCACAAAATAACACATAATTCGATTAAATAGAATAGGATTTTTGACACAACAATAATGTCATAAAAATACAAACAAAAATTTGCACACATTATAAAACAGACAACAAATTCGTCTGTGTAGGTACCTCTATCTCACGTAAATCAACCGCTAAGAAGCTTGCTATCTTGTATTGCGATATTGCGACTGCTTTGTTAGCTGTGTTTTGGATATATGCCAGTGAAATTACAGGATACAGAGGCATTTTAGTTCTCCGGTATCACAGGCATCACATGATAACGTGATGTCGTAGTGCTGTATAAGTATATAGGTGACGATTATCACTTTCCAACAAATTGGGCTATTATTACATATTTCTTCTTTTAAGTGACCTTACCAATGATTTAATACAAGAATTGTTCTACTTGTATAACATGAAGATTAACAAATTTATCTTATTTAATAAAAAGTAGCAATTATTAATTATGGTAATATTTCAGGCAATCCACTAACAGCAGATCACTTCAAATGGGAAAGGAATGGGCATATTTTCGATAATAAAGTTGTAACTTTTGACGCTAAAAATTTTACAAGTCACCTTCAAGTGTTGAAAGCAACAAGAAACGACGTGGGAGATTACAAGTGTATTGTTGATAATGGTATAGGAGAGAAGGCGAGTCAAGATGTCATGCTAGTAGTTAAATTCAAGCCTGAAATGGACTCATCACCCAGTCTCGTGAAATCTGCGTCCAATGTTGGACAAGTGGGAAGGTTAACATGCAAGTAAGTGTATCAGTAATTTTATTCTTTAGTTGAATTGTCCTTTTGATCTGATATAAATAATTAGATATTTTTTAATAACAATATCTCAGGATAATTCATACGGCACTATCTAGTCACAATCTAAGCAAAGCTTGTGTTATAGGTAGTAGACAACTGATACAAATACACAGATATAATATACATAGAAAACATCCAGTCCGATACCGATAATATAACTGTGTGTTTGTACCATTCGAGGAATCATACCTACGACTATTAGGCATTTGTTAAACCTCTAGAACATCGAGGCCAGGCAAGGCACTAGAGGCTACGTGAATTGTCCAGGCATATTATTTTTTTACAAAAGGTTATTGTACTGGATGCTAACAAGCAAGAATTTTTATTCTATTTTCTTTTTTTATTGAACTAAAGTTGTCTCATAGAATCTAAAGTCAATTAAATAATCAAATGCTTTATTTTCTACTTTCGCTTGTACACTGGCAAATATTGACATGTTATTCTTTTTAGATGTAAAGCAGCTCCTGCGCCTAACTTTACGTGGTCCAAAAACGGCGCTAAACTACCAGTGAACACATCGACCAAATATTTCGCTGAATTTCATAAAATTGACGCAGTAACGTACACCTCTGTATTGCTTGTAAATGATGTTACAACATCTGACTATGGGTCTTTCGAGTGTGGAGCCAGAAACGATTTGGGATTCAGCACTACTTCTGTGAAATTGGATATCACTAGTGCTCCAGGTGAGAATATAGATTCTTAAATTTCTTTTACTACTTATTCACTCTTATCAATATTTATATTTATATCTATATCTAATATTATTTTGATATTTTTACAGATCAAGTAATATCAATGACTGTTACCAACATAACTCACAACTCAGTGACAGTGGAATGGGTGCCAGCTTTCGATGGAGGTCTACCTTCTTGGTACAGGATAAGATACAGGTAACTATATTTTAACTATTATCACTTCAGTAGATCAACTTTTTAGAGCAGGCTCTAACCAAATCAGGTCTCAAATACCATACCAAATCGGATACCAAAATCCGCTCTACTCGTGTATAGTTGTATTACAAATAGATAATTATTCCATTTTAATAAGTTGTATTATTTTAAAAAAATTGTTCTGATATACTTTAGCAAGAATAACTAATGTTTTTAAATATTTTGCAGTAGTAATGACAAATATATTTTAAAAAAATATTTGTTTAGACAATTGTCCAACCCCAAAATTATTGAGTTAAAAATCCTGACATTTGTTCAACCAAAAACCAAGTCAGTTTGGAACCTACAATTCAAAACAGAAATTTTAAGGGATTTTTAGGTGGACTAACTGACCTGACCTCACGTTCATCATATCATCTTCCACTGATGCCCCGCCAGCTTAAACCGTTAGATCAGGCGGGTGCGCCATTCCATTATCATCCATAAAAAAGTCACTTCTCATGTCAATTTCATTATACATCCATTCAGATCGCCATAACAAATAGATAGTCAGGCATTTTTCGTATTTACATATTTTAGATAATAAATTATCATATTTTAAACTTCGATCTTTTTAATTTTCATCTGTCTGAAATTTATAAAATAAAACTCGTAAAAATTATGAGCCAAGTGTTAAATCACTTAAAATATGCATCTAACGTAAAAACTTTACTATAAACCTCACAAGTCTCTGCCAATCTAATTTAAACCTTAATAGTTTGCGCAGAGTTGTGAAAATAGAAAAACTTGGTTTGCACTTTGTCATTTATCATCGTTTACGGTTCGCTTGTTCAATTAACTATATCTCAGTATTAGAGAATAATTTTCAAATCATTTGAACTTTACAATCTTCACACGAGATCTGTTAAAGAAGTTTGCAGACAGAAATGGCAAATCCTACGGACACCTCTCTTTCCCCCTCTCCGTTCTGACATTTCTTGATTAATTTACATTTATTTTATTATATTATTGAGGTATTAGGTTGTTAGCTTCAAATAGGTCCAGCGGTTTATCACACTTTTTTACTGATGTCGTGAGTTCGATTTCTCGCATGGGACAAACATTTGTTTTTATAATAATGATTGTTTGTATCGGTCTGGGCGTTTTTTTTTAGTATTTATAAGAAAAATGTATCTATCAGTTGTCTAGTACCCAAAACCCAAGCTTTGCTTAGCCTGGGACTAAGTGGTGTTGTGTACACTGTCCAGAGTTTTTATTATTATTTTCATACATTCATAATTTAAGAGTCAAAGACTTCTGTCAAAGACAAAGACTCTTGTCGATGGACCTCTTGCCACATTCCACGATCTTCCATCATCCTCTTCAAATATTGATACGGCACGGCTCTCTTTTCGAATTTTCTCTTTGCCAATTGTCTCTTCTCCAATTTTTCATTTCCTGGACGTATTCTTTTGTATTCGTACATAAACATTATGCAACACAAAAATAAGTTTCTTGTAATCTATTTTTTAAGAACTTATGCAATTGTCTTTGTTTTAGGAAAATATACGACGATTCCTACAGATATGAAGATGTAACTCCTAGAAATGCAACAACGTACACTGTTGTTAATCTGGACAGGAATACAGACTACGTGTTCTCTGTTATGGCCATAAACAAGATTGGACAAAGCAAATACAGGCCCGACGACACCAAAGCTACTACACTTAGTGAGTATAAAGCTTACATTAATATACTTTAAGAACTTTAAAAAAATGGGGATTTTCGTTATGTATATTTTTTAAGCGTGTTAAAAAGTAACATCACAACTTTTTTCCACATGAACCGATTTTAATGATTCTTTTTTTTCTTTTTTATTTGAAAGCTGGTATTTCGGGTGTTGTTCCACATAAATTTGATAAGAATCTGTATAGTAGTTTTTGAGTTATCCTTAATAATGTGATTGAAGTCGGTTCGTGGTCTGACAGTCAACTATTGAAACTTTGGATTGGGTCGTTTTGCTCCTTTTTATTCTCATTAATTATAAAAAGATAGAAAGAAGAAGTTATGTTAAGTTAAGAATGTGGATGATTAAAAGCAGAGGTAGGCCAAAAACAGATGGATAGGCTGTGTGAAGCATGATATGACAAGAAAGAGAGTAAATAACGAGATGACTGCGAACAGGGATGAATGGAAGAGAAAGGTCGATCCTAAATAATATAGGATGAATGAAGAGAAATTATGATTATTCCATATAATACAATATAGTAATACCACAGATAACATAATATTACATACAGATACCCCATCCCATACAAGAAAATGGTTCCTTCCTAACTCGGGCTATTCTTCGGGCTATTTTATTTCGCCACCGTAGCCGCTAGATGTCGCTAGATCTGAAGCAGTTCGGATTACTAGTGGGTGCTTAGTAACAAAGCATGAAAATAGATGGCAGTCAATTCAGTCTACATGACATCTGTTTTGCAAAGATATGTATATAATAGATATGTAGGTAGCTGTATCGTGTACCTCATTAGGGACGATTCAAGATTCAATGTAAATGTGTAGGTATAATATCGTTAGCCGACACTCTGCAGATATGGCTTATGTGCCAATGTATATACCTATTGTGTTATGGTTTATTTTACATTCCATGCCTATTTTTTTGATATGTTGTAACGCGTCTGCTATACGTATAGCCTGATTTTGATACGTTTATACTCGTACGTATCAAAATCGGGCTATACGATTTTTTATTTCAATCGTTATATGTATGAGACTGATTTTAGCTACAATTAATTTACTGGTATATACCTCATGTATTCTACGATGTACCCCTCTTTTACCTAATGAGAATTCCGCTATATCTTATATATAAATTTTGTATCACAGTGTTAGTTGCCATATTTCTCCCACATTTTGATGAAATTTGATATGTATACTTGCCAGGTCTGAGGTAGGGTTGTTATCTATTTTTTATACCCCTAAGTCATAGGGGTGGCCTACCCCGAAAAAATATTTTTTTGTATTATGGACAATTTTTTATTTATTTATAATGTTACATTGAAAATACATACACGCCTAAATTTTCACCCGTCTTTCACCAACCCCTATTTTTAATAGCGATATTCTTACAAATATTATAAATGCTAAAGTAACTCATTTGTCTCGCTTTCACGCCAAAACTACTGAACTTTTGGTAGACAGATAATGTAGACCCTGAGAAAGGCTACTTTTTAATGCGAAAAAGTATTGAAAGGGGAAATGAAAGGCTATATGAGGATATCGTAATTTTTAAAGTCAGATCTTGTAAGATTAAGTGAACAGGGTCGGTCTAGGTTTTTCATTATTAGAAATGTGTAACGGGGTAACACGTTATTTAGTGCGAAATTGTGTATATTACAATAAAATTTAACGAGAAAATATTATAATGATATCACTGGGACACTCATTGCCTTACTACTATATCGTCCGTTAGTCGCGAACTTTCTGGAAACACGAGAGGCGCGCTCCTATTGGTCGGTCGGCGCGTAGATGAGTAGATGAGGTACTTAGACGAGTCTCACGGCGCCGCAGCGTAAGTACTTACTATACATACGTAGTATACATATGGGTATTACAAATGTTTTTATTACTAGTAATATTACTCTGTTATCTAAGCAAGTAATTGCAAGCAAGTAATTGATAACATTCCGAATTACTCGTATATCTTTCAATATCTTTAGCGGTATAAACCAGGTTATGTACTACTACTAGTATTGTTAGTGAGGGATAAAGTTGATGAACAAAAATAAAACAATATTCGTATTAAAAATATATTCATCTAATATTTTTGGCATTATTTTTAAGTTTCTTCCAAATACAAGGGGTCTGACATGGGGTGTTATGTATCTACATTAAAAAATACTTTTTGAAATGTATGAAAGAAACGTATTGTATGAAATTTTTGAAATGTGTGAAATGTATGCACCTACATTAAAAGATAATTTTTGAAATGTATGAAAGAAATGTATTGTATGAAATTTTTGAAATGTATGAAATGTAAGGACCTACATTAAAAGATAATTTTTGAAATGTATGAAATTTTTGGAATGTATGAAATGTATGAAAGAAATGTATGTACCTACATAAAAAGTTCATTTTTGAAATGTATGAAATGTATGAAAGAAATGTATGTACCTACATTAAAATATAATTTTTGAAATGTATGAGATGTATGAAAACAATGTATGTACCTACATAAAAAGTTCATTTTTGAAATGTATGAAATGTATGAAAGAAATGTATGTACCTACATTAAAAGATAATTTTTGACATGTATGAAATGTATGAAAGAAATGTATGTACCTACATTAAAATATAATTTTTGAAATGTATGAGATGTATGAAAGAAATGTATGTACCTACATAAAAGTTCATTTTTGAAATGTATGAAATGTATGAAAGAAATGTATGTACATTAAAATATAATTTTTGAAATGTATGAGATGTATGAAAACAATGTATGTACCTACATAAAAAGTTCATTTTTGAAATGTATGAAATGTATGAAAGAAATGTATGTACCTACATTAAAAGATATTTTTGACATGTATGAAATGTATGAAAGAAATGTATGTACCTACATTAAAAGATAATTTTTGACATGTATGAAATGTATGAAAGAAATGTTTGTTGTTGAACATTAAAATATAATTTTTGAAATGTATGCACCGTACAATAACAATACACGTTAAACATCATACCACATAGTCATACGCAAGTTAAAAACAAACTGCTATGATATTAATGTGAAAGGAAAATAAACTTTATGGTATTCGAGTTAGGGTCGATTTCTCTCTTTTTTTAAAACTATTTTAATCTTACCAGTTGCCAGTATTCGAAGACAGCTACGATTCGTACTCGATATTTTAAATTATTATGTAATCGATTTTTCAGTAAAAATGTAAATAACCAACGACACTAATAATGTACTACTATATTCCGTTCTTTGAAACGGAACACTGCTATACAAATAATGAAAATTTACTGTTCACAACGACTCATTAAAAGCATCATCGAATAATGCGCTGTAATAAAATCCTGTTATCGATTATTCAAAAAAATCGATAATACATGTATTTATTTTTAATATGACAACACTTCATACATAAGTATTATTGGAAATAGTATTACTTGCTTGTTCGGCCTAATTAAATGTCTTTTTTATATGTTTGATTTACAATAACAATATATTAAGTGCTTATTATTGGAAAATATAAAAAAGACATTTAATTAGGCCGATACAAATGACAACATTGCCATCTATGAAAGCATTTTGAAAACATTGAGCCCCGTATTAGCACTGATTAAAGTGTAATTAAGTACAAAATAACAAAATGAGTAAATATATGATAATTACTTTTCTAAACGCATTATTTCATTTTAACATGTATATATAATTTTTTAAAAATGGATTAAACTATTTTGAAAACACAGTTTTGTTTTTTAAAACGTTTGCAAAACTATAAAGAATTCCATCGATACCAATCACGCCATCTATATGCAACTTTTAGCAATAATAATGGCTATTTCCTCATTGAGTGCCACTGGTAATACTGAAAATAAAATAAATATTTATTTATGAATTATTACTAATCGAGCCTCGGCTCATGAAGTCGTAATTTCGATCCCCGTTTGAATTGGACGGGGTATTGAAAAAAGGGGCTAAATATGGGATATAACACTAGAGATGTGACCGTCTGTGTCAGAGACGGGGTAGAGGTCAAAAATAATGAAATTAATGTGACAAAATTGGATAATAATAATAATAATCTGAGGACAATTCACACAGCGCCACGTAGACCCATGTTAAGCTAGCTAAAGCTTGTGTTATGGGTACTAGATAATTGATATAAATACATAGATATTTTTTTCGTATTATATATAGAAAACTTCTAGGTAGGTCGAGTGGAATGAGTAGTCATGCTCACTAAAATGTCCAGACATGTGGCAGCGTGGTGGGCCGGGTCATTGGGCTCCCTAAAATATGGTCGAGCGCAGTGATGGCTGGCTCATCCGTCATACTCGTGAACGAGTGCTACTTGTGGGGACTGGTCTGCTCTTATCACTACGACTGATTTAATCTTATTGTGTTTTTATATTTGAGCCTAAATAAATTAGTGCTGGTTGGTAGTTTGTATTCACACGTTTCGACTTTTTTTTTTTTTAATCTATTAAATATTGAGGGTTTATTCCAGAGAATATGCCACCCCCATCGGTGCAACAGTACAAAATATTTAAATTATTATATATTTCTCTCGTTAATGCCAAATTTAACTATATTAATCATTTTGATGGCCTCTTCTGTTATTGGGTTATTGAGAATACTGTTGCAGAGGCCGATACCATCTCGAATAGAAGGTAACAATTCGCGCCTTTTGGTCTCGTTCCGTGCGCATTCCATAATAATATGATAGACATCTTCAATTTTTCCACATACCGTACAATTTGGAGTTATAGATTTTCTCATTAAAAATGCAAAACTATTTAAAGGAAAGTGTCCAGAGCGAAGTCTTAGTGCCAAAACAATATCTTGTCTACTCATATTAGAATGTTACGTTTCGACTTGTAAAATGTAAACTTGCAAGGATTGTTTAAAAGAGCAACACACAAGTTTCTTGCTTATTCTTCTTGTGATGAGACAGCTTTCCGAATAAGCGGTAGATTTAAAAAAAAATGTTGACTATTCAAAAGTGCTTAAATTAAGTTTATTTGAATAAATGATTTTCTATTCTATTAACAACGTTTATTTAAACACTGCGTACAAAGTAGAATTTTAATACGAACAGTTATTAAATTTATACGATAATATGCGATGCAGATTTTCCGAAATGAAAACATCAAACGAACAGTATTACTGTACGATAAATTATTATAATTAATTTTATTTTCAACTGTCCGTTATTCGGGATTTCATTCGTGATTAATTTAACATGTTTTTTAATTACAATAACTAGTTTCTATAATAAAAGTAGCTTAAGTTACTCATTACATTTGTTGTGTTCTATCGATGGTCGCGAGTTCGATTCCTCGCCGTTGCAAACGTTTGTATTCATGAGTATGATTGTTTGTATCGGTCTGGATATTTTCTTAAAATATTAAGTAAGTATTTACAAAAAAAAAGTATTTATATCAGTTGTTTAGTATCCATAACACAAGCTCTGCTTACTGTGGGACTAGATGGCGCTGTGTATATTGTACAGGGTTATTTATTTATTATTTACTAGCTGTGCCCACGTTAAATTTTAATAAAAAATATAGCCTATATGTTATTCTGATACATAAGCTATATTACTGTAAAGTTTCATCAAAATCCGTTCAGTAGTTCTTGCGTGAAAGAGTAACAAACATCCATAATCACAAACTTTCGCGTTTGTAATAATATTATAATTTATATGCATTTAATGAAAAGATGTTAACTTGAAATTGCAAACAGACATTTCAATTCAATTTATATGTACAGATATCGAATATCGAAATACATTTCATTTTGATAACGAAAATATTATTCAATGAACAAATATTATTTTATTAATAACTTAATCAAATTATATGTATATTTAATGTACATATTTTCATAAATAATTATATATTTGTGAAAATGCTGTAGTCTCAGTAAGTTATAGTTATAAGAAAAGAATACGAGCTGAGTTTCTTGTCAGTTCTTCTAATCTCGAAATCATTCCGAACTGACGGTAGATTTGACATATGATAAGAGTCTGTAATAGACCTACATGAATAAAGATATTTGAATGTGGAAGTAATAAGTAATAATGATTTAACTTGGAATGAACATATATGATGCAATGAAGAGAATGTTTTAAGAGAGTTTTATATATGAATGTGGATGTATTATAAATTGAAAATTCTGTCTGTCTGTCTATCCAATTGTGTATAAAACTATTTGATTGTGTATTTAATATTTGTACTCTTATGAATTAGTAGTAAGAAATGAAAAGATTCAATAATTGTTTAAAAGAGCAACACGCAAGTTTCTTTTTTGAGTTTTTTTTTAAGAACTTAATTTAAGAACTTTTGAACAGTCATAACAATTTTTTTTATCTACCACTCGTTCGGAAAGCTGTCTCATCACAAGAAGAACGAGCAAGAAACTCGTGTGTTGCTCTTTTAAATTGTAAGTTTACATTTACAATTCGAATCGTGTGAATACAAACTACCAACCAGCACTAATATATTTGGGTCAATTTTTTTTTTAATTTGTATGATTCCACGCTGCAACTGACAAAATGTCCTATATGATTTTTTTTTAAATTTGAATTTGAATGATTCCACGCTGCAACTGACAAAATCCTATATGATTGTTTTTTAAATTTGTATTTGAATGATTCCACGCTGCAACAGACATAATCCAATCATCAGTACAGTCAAGTTCCGAGGAGTATAACTCATACAATGTGCCTGGAGTGTTCATCATCACGGGGACTATAGTCGGTACAGCACTGATCCTCTTGAATGTACTGCTGATTGGATTCTGTCTCCACCGGAGGACCAACAAGAGGATAAGAGGTTCGATTCTCAAATTAACGATGTGTTTAGTAGTTCGTGTATTGATGTGCTTTTAAAAAAAATAATTTCGTGGTTATAAAGATGCAACTTTGTTTTGATGTGCGGATATTTATGAAAGTAAATAATGTTTTTTTGATCCGCTAAGAAAGGATTTTGATTAATTCTACCCCCAAGGGGATGAAATAGGGGATGAAAGTTTGTATGCAACTTTGTCAATTTTAAACCAATCGGGCTGAGACTTTGCATACATAAAGCTACTATGACGTAGGTATCCCTGAAGAAAGGATTTTTATGAATTTCACCCCTAAGAGGATAAATTAACGCGAGCGAAGCCGCTAGCAAAAGCTAGTTTAGAATATGGGCGATTAGTAACCTGAATGAAATAAATAAATTATATAAGCACAATAATTTTGGTGCAATGGTTATCTAGTGTAAACTAGAACGAGATGAAAGAGACAGAACAAGCGGATAGTATGAAGTAAGTAATTACTTCATACTATCCGCTTGTTGTCTCTTTCTAACACTAGTATATAGATCGATAGAAACGAAATTGAATGAAAAAAATTAGTGACATTATAGCAAACAGTAAATACAAATATTTTTAGTATATACTAAAATGGTATTAAAAGCTAGCTATCAGAAATACACAGCAAATAAAAGTATATCAAGATATATAATGATTATACAGCCAATAGATATGCAAATAAATACATAGCAATATAAGTAGTGAAATTAAATAAATAAATAAAAATAAAAATGTAAACTAGAAATAAGGAAGTCCATGTAAAAATAAAATAAAGTAACTTAGAATGTATAATACCTGAAATTAAGATTTTGATGTCTCAGTAGAAGTAAGTAATTATGTGTCTAATTATATGCATAAAAAACCTGGAACTTAATATTTAATCGAATTAGGTGTTATTTTGCGGAAGTCCATTTCACTAATTGATGGATTTATATTATTTTGTTCAATTCCGTTTAATTCCGCTAGCGGAATTAAACAAAATAATGTAAATCCATCTTATTTTGTTTAATTCCGCTAGCGGTATTAAACAAAATAATGTAAATCCAACTTTTTTTGTTTAATTCCACTATGTTTAATTAGCTAGCGCTAGCGGAATTAAACAAAATAATGTAAATCCATCGAGTACTGGAACTTAATATCCGAGAAAAAAAACATTACTATAGATAGAAAAACAAATGTATACCACGAAATTATCTTTTAATCACATTTTTGTTTCTATTATTATTTGCTAATTTTCGTTTATGATTTCTTTTATTAGCTTCGTCCGAAGTAGGGGAACTGAACGTAGTACCCACTGAGTATGTTGAGCCGACTGACATGTCCAAGTCTGTAACGTTATACGTGACATGCAGCGGGGCACTACTAGTGTTACTGAATGCTGCATTTATTGCTTGTTTTATTTTAAAGCGTCGCTCTCGCAGACTGAAAGGTAAGTTTTGTTTTATTTGCTTTTTTTCTTTTGTTGTTAGTCTGTCTGTTGTTGTATTTGTGTCGTTAGTAATTAGTTCTCCCTTAACAATGTAGTTGTTGAAACTTTTAATTTTCTAAATTTTTACAATAATAACAGTAATGATCTCAGGACAATTCACACAGCGCCATCTAGTCCCAAGTTAAGCTAGCCAAAGCTTGTATTATGGGTACTAGACAACTGATACTAGATACATAGATAGATTTTTTTCGTAAATACATATATATTATACATAGAAAACGCCCAGACCGATACAAATAATCGTACTCATGAATACAAAAGTTTATGCCGCGCGAATCGAACCCGCGACCATCAGTAGAAAGGCGGTGTGCTAAACCGCTAGACCACTGACGCCGTCAATAATGTTTAGTTATATTACACACACACATAGAAGTATAGTTTTTGAGAACCTTAATAATGTTCCAACTTATAATTTAAATTACTTATGGTCATATGGTAAGAATTTCGACCATTTTTGCAGTATAAATCGAAATTTTTGAAGTTAAAGTTTTAAATGTAATACTGAAGATATATTAAATATACTAGTTAGCTACCCGCGTGATATGTTATTCTGGTATATAAGCTATATTATATAGTAAAGTTTCATTAAAATCCATTCAGTAGTTTTTGCGTGAAAGAGTAACAAACATCCATCCACATACACTTCCGCGTTTATAATATCATTACATAGTATAAAATAAAGTCGCTGTCGCTGTCTGTCCCTATGTATGCTTAAATCTTTAAAACTACGCAACGGATTTTTTAATAGTTAGAGTGATTCAAGGGAAAGGTTTATATATATATAATACATGTACACCCGTGCGAAGCTGGGGCGAGTAGGTAGTTAGTGAGATAAACTAAAATATTCTGCCTGTCTAGAACAAGCCGGCCAGTCATCCAAGTCTGCGACCATAGAAATGTACGCTCCATCATCATACAATGACACCATGACGGGAGAAACCCTGAGCTCGGTGTCGGAAAAGTCAGAAACGTACTCCCAGGATGACGGCGATGATCGTCAGCCACCACCGATTCCTGAGGTTCCGTCGATGCCCAACAGGCATATGTTGAGTCAGGTAATTTTTTTTGTACTACGATAGTGGAAAATCATACGGCCCGTCTGATGGTAAACGGTTAGCTCGCCCTGTAGATAGAGTTCAGGCCCTATCTAGTTGTTAGGGCGACCTATTATGCCCTACGCAAGCGCATGCCTCAAGGGCCATATAGTTGGGGCGCTGCCTCCCTGAAGATGGACACCAAGGGTGAACTACCCCTGCATCGTGTGTTGTTGTCTACTATATATAACCAGTTGAATAGAATAGAATAGAAAATCATTTATTCAAAACAAACTTACATTGAAGCACTTTGGAATAATCAGCACATTTTTTTAATCTACCGCTCATTCGAAAAGCTGTCTCATCACAAGAAGAACGAGCAAGAAACTTGTGTGTTGCTCTTTTAAATAATTTTATTCTTCCTTTACAATTTACGTTTAAGTGTCTGAATATAAACTACCGATTAGCACTAATTCAATTAAATAATCAAATAGAAGAAATATTGAATACACAACAACTTGATTGTGTCTGTATGAGTAAATATATTTTGATTTCACTTATTTTAATGAAATATATATTTCAACAGCAAACCGACGCGTACCTAATGGATGATCAGGGTCTAGTCATCCCCCCTCCCCTGGACTACCCCCCACCAAACTATGCAGTGTACGAGGGAGACCACGCGCGGACGTTACCTCACCCCCACAGGCATAAGGATCTCAGTGGTCACAGTACATTGGGAAGGAGTGCTGGTAAGATTTTTTTTATATAGTTTATGGAATTGGATGTTATTTTGCGGAAGTCCAATTCACTTAATGGATTTGTGTTATTTTATTTAATTCCGCAAGCATTAGCATGTGTAAGACCACTTTGCGGAAACTCATTTTATTACTTAACACATTGACCGTCTTGTCAGTCACAGTTGACTGACACTAGAATACTCCAATGGGGTATATCAGTCACTAGTGACTGACACTGAGTACCTACTTTAATTTATTAAATACTAGCTGTTCCCGCGACTTCGTCCGCGTGGAATTTAACTTTATTTTTCTAAAATAAAAGTAGCCTAAGTTACTCCTTATTACATCAGCTACTTGCCAATAAAAGTCCCGTCAAAATCGGTCCAGCCAATTCAGAGATTAGCCGGAACAAACAGACCGACAGACAGACAGACAGAAATTGTAAAAAGTGTTTTTTTGGTGTATGTACCGTATTTATATTTATATGCATGTAGGAAAAAACGGTTATTTCAATGTTACAAACAGACACTCCAATTTCATTTATATGTAATAGATATACAATGTTTTTTTATATTTTATGAAAAACTTGTTGGCGGAGAATGTATTAAGGGATTTGTGTTATTTTGTTTAATCCCGCTATTATTAAATAGATAGATAGATATATAGATAATTGATATATTGCCAACATAACACAAATAATACAGTTTACAATAAGACAAAATGAGAAATAAATAATAACATAGAAAGTTGGCAATAGGAGCTGCCTCAGCTGTTGCTGATATAAGCACAATCTTAATGAGGTGCATCTATACAGCGCTGGTTTTCAGGCAGCCCCCATTACTCCTTAAAAATTGGCATGGATCTCATCCATGCCAATTCGGAAGTCCATTTTATTTCTTAAGGGATTTATATTATTTTGTTTAATTCCGCTAGCATGTTTTGGAAGTCCGTTTCATTATATATATATTATATATAAAGGATATGTGTTATTTTGTTTAATTCCGCTAGCATTAGCATAGGTGAGACCACTTTGCGGAAGTCCATTTCATTACTTAAGGAATTTATATTATTTTGTTTAATTCCACTAGCATTCGCATATCATTATCATTACTTAGTATAAAACAAAGTCTCTATCGCTGTCTGTCCGTCCCTATGTATTCTACGCAGCGGATTTTGAAGCGGTTTTCTTTAATTGATAGAGTGATTCAAGAGGAAGGTTTATATATATAATACATATATACCCGTGCATAGCTAGGTATATATATATAAAAAACCCACGCGAGTACAAACAATCGTACTTATGAATTGGGACACAGTCACCTAGATACATAAAATAATAAATGCATTTAATAATGTCTAGTAAGACAAACTCAATATTGTCTACTAAAACAATTGTTATTTAGTATATAAGATCATTATTTCTATGTACACATTGTCAGTATCATCATCAGTAATATACATCGTCTCGACCAGCAACATGTATTATTTACCCGCAACAGTGGTGACCCCGACGTTAAGACGATCCTTCAAACAAGAGATCTCTGTCGCATCCTGCGCACCACCAACGATTGCATTTCCACCGGCTTCCCAGAAGCGGGTTCACCGGCTTTCAAGAGGCATAAAAGTAATACTGTGCAACAAGGATACTGACCCCCAGTAAACACAACTGCCTGCTGGATATAATATCTGTACGAAAAATTGAACCTGGAAAAATAAAGCAAAAATGCTGTCTATATATATATTGCACACCTGTCGTCACTAATGCCATCAAAATTGCTGATATAAAAAGCACTCGCCACACACAAACAGACGCAGCAACTACCGATCTAGGTCAAATTCAATCATTGCATAGTCGGAAAAATGACTATTATTTATATTATATCATCGCAAATATAAAGAAAAGGCATACAAATGTGACATGCCGCGCTCCTATGGACAACCGTCGGAAAACTAGATTCGACGCAGAATATGACGGAACGCTGTGCTGTTCATCCGTCTAACCGCCTAGCTATAACCGACTCTAACAGTGGCTATAGAATTTTGGTGGACACCGGAGCAAAAATCTCGATGAATAAAAAACAAGCACAGACCAAAGAGAGCGCTAGCGAAATCAAATTATTCGCCGCAAACAATTAATATGAGCAAATGCGAGTTCTTCACAAATGAGTTAGATTTTCTTGGTTATCATATAACGAGCCAAGGGATGAAACCAACGGAAGAAAAATGGCAAGCAATCGACGAGTACCCTAAACCCACGACAGTTGAAGATTTACGTCGTTATTTGGGTATAATGAATTTTTATTGTTGCAAAAGTTCATAATATCTAAATTTTACATTTAACTTTTATAATTTTTTTGTGTGTAATATATATATATTTTTTCTCTCAAGGGGGAATATCTATGGGACACAGTCACGATACATAAAATAATAAATGCATTTAATAATGTCTAGTAAGACAAACTCAATATTGTCTACTAGGCACTGCTATCTATGTGTCACCCCACCTTACATTTTCCTATTGTTATTTAGTATATAAGATCATTATTTCTATGTACACATTGTCAGTTCATCATCATTTGTAAAATACATCGTCTCGACCAGCAACATCGTATTATTCACCCGCAACAAATACAAAAGTTTCTAGAGCAGATCTACTAAACTGTCACCACGGCCGTCATAATTCTTATTATATGTACATAGATCTTCGTAGACAGTTCTTTGGTTGTAATATAATTCAATTGTTGCAGGTAAAAACTATATACCAGCCCCGAGCCCTATGCCCCCTCTCGACGGCTCCTATTACAATATGTCGTCGGATAGATATCTGTCATATCCACCCCTCATATCCGAATATTTACACCAGCAAGTAAGTTATTCTATTTAAATACTAATATTATTGTATGAAATCTATTAATATTACAAAATTCAATATGTTTATAACCTTATCTATACTATACTAATATTATAAAGCTAAAGAGTTTGTTTGTATAAACGCGCTAATCTCAGGAACCACTGGTTCTAATTGAAAAAATATTTTTGTGTTGGATAGTTTTCAAATTCAAATTCAAAAATCATTTATGTAGGCCATTTTAGCCGCTTATGAACGTCAAGTTTTTATATTATAATTTCTTTTCCCTACCGTCCAGTTCGGTATATAGATCCAATTGAGAAGACCTGGCAAGAAACTCAATTGAATTACTTTTTTTTTAAATCCAGTTTATTCACAATGCAAAGGTATTTATATAGGTGTCTATGTCTAACATTAAATGAAAATCCCGAACATGAAAACTATTGCCATGCACGCTCGTCATTCAAGTAATCGTTAGTCCAGTTATCGAGGAAGGATTTAAGGTATATAACATGCTACGACCAAATGGATCGGAGCTGCAATGGAAAATATTGCAAAAGGTGTGGTAATGTAATATAGACGAAGTTGCACGGGTCAACTAACTATATATATATATATATATATATGTACATAGATATTGTTTAATTTTTTGTATGTTATAGTAGTATTGTCAGTTTTGCGTCTTCTCTGTTTCCTACAACGCTTTCTATTTATTATCTTGATATTGGTAGACAGTAGGTACTAATATGTATTTCTTAATAAGAAACTAAATTAATATTTTATTTACTGAAACATATATACTTATATAATATTATAAATATAGCATATTAGATTTTTTATAATATTTTTGCGTGTTTGTAATGAATAAATTCGAAAAAAACTCGACCGATTTTAGATATCCTTTCATATATCCATAGTCACATTATCATGGAATATCATGATGTACTCAATGCAAGCATCGCCGTAGTATACAGCTAGTAATTTATAAAAACACTAGCCGTGCCCGCGACTTCGTTCGCGTGGTTATTAAAAACATTATCACGATCATCTTTGGAAACCCTCAAATTTCCTCAAATATTCTCCGTTTTTGAAACATTTTTTACTGATCCCTCGCTCCTGTTGGTCGTAGCGTAATGTTATATAGCTTAAAGTCTTCCTCGACAAATGGACTATCCAACACAAAAAGAATTTTTCAATTCGAACTAGTAGTTCCTGAGATTATCGCGTTCAAACAAACAAACTCTTTATTAGCATAGATGTTGGCTTTCTCTTTAAATGTATGCTTGATTGTATTGAATTGTAATCTGATGGTTTTCTAATAAAATATCAATATATAAAAACATAAGAACTAACAGACAAACATAATGTAGCAAACGGGACGGACCCCCACGCCTCCGCAGCAGTACGCCCCGCAGCCGGTACCGAAGCCCCACCTCATGAACGGCGCGCTCCCGGGGGGGTCGCCCTCGCACGTCGCCAGCCCCCCACTCTCGTATGGACTTGATGGTACGACATTTTTTTTAAACTACTAATACGACTAGCAACGGCAGTAAATAATTAAATAAATAACTTACCAATCTTAGAGCAATATATTTAGTACAAACAGATGAGACAAAAATAGATAAAAATAATTTAATAATATATATGTAATAATAATCTCAGGACAATTCACACAGCGCCACCTAGACCCAAGTTAAGTTAGCTAAAGCTTGTGTTATGGGTACTAGATAATTGATATAAATACATAGATATTTTTTCGTACATATTATACATAGAAAACACCCAGACCAATACAAACAATCATACTCATGAATACAAATCTTTGTGCCGTGCGAGGAATCGAACCCGCGACCAACGGACGTAAAGCGGTGTGCTAGACCGCTACACCACCGAGGTCCATATTTTTTAGTGAGATAGAATTTATTTATCAACTAAACAAAATGTTTGTTTTCCGTAGCTCTAGACAGACAGTCAACTGGCGGGACGTTGAGACGACAGAGACTCGAAAAGATGGCAGTTCCACCACCCGATGTCACGGTACTTCATCAGGGTAACTGCACACAGGTAAATACACAGACCAAATAAATTTATTTTATGCAATTGAAATGGTAAACAAACTAACTGTAAGCCACCGGATGGTAACTGCAAACTGTCGCTGGTAACGATGGTGTTCTGTTTGGTTACGTAGTAGTTTTAATATTTTGTATCTTTGTACATTCTAGTAAAAAACAGCTAAACCAAATATAATGATAATTCACAACACATGTTGCTTACCCCAGAGGTAATAACCAATGTTTTATTACCTCTGGGGTAACTGTTTACAAACAGTGTTTTATACACTAGTATAAAATACAAAATGTAAACAGTTACCCCAGAGGTTAAATGATTATTTTTAAGTCTATCTATCCACAAGTAATTAGAAAACAGTAATTAACAATAGATGGCGTTAAATAGTAATTTAACATTATGGAAAACTAAACATTAACTGCTGCACAGCGCCATCTAGTCTGAAGCTAAGCAGAGCTTGTGTTATGGCTACTGTAGAACTGATATAAATACTTAAATTCTCTTTTTGCAAATTCATACATAATATACATAGAAAGCACCCACATCGATACAACATTCATACTCATATCAAATCAAATCAAATCAAATTTATTTGCACTAAACATAGGTTGGCAGTGGTTGTTATTGTAATATAATGTCCCATTATGTTTTGCCGCATAATACAATACAAACAATCATATTCATGAATACAAATGTTTGTATGCGGGGAATCGAACCCGCGACCGGAAGCAAAGCCGTGTGCTAAACCACTAGACCGAGGCCGGTTACGTTTCTAGATAGAATAGAATAGAATAGAAAATCATTTATTCAAATAAACTTCATTTAAGCACTTTTGAATAGTCATAACAATTTGTTTTTTATCTACCACTCGTTCGGAAAGCTGTCTCATCACAAGAAGAACGAGCAAGAAACTTGTGTGTTGCTCTTTTAAATAATCCTTGTAAGTTTACATTTACAAGTCGAAACGTGTGAATACAAACTACCAACAAGCACTAATTTTTTGGGTCAAATATAATCATACAATAAGATTAAATCAGTCGTAGTGATAAGAGCAGACCAGTCCCCACAAGCAGCACTCGTTCACGAGTATGACGGATGAGCCAGCTATCACTGCGCTCGACCATATTTTAGGGAGCCCATTGACCCGGCCCACCACGCCGCCACATGTCTGGACATTTTAGTGAGCATGACTACTCATTCCACACGACCACGTCACAGCTACAAAAATTACTATATGGTAGTTACAGTATTCGCACTTTACATAAGGATGCATGCGGCAATCAATACAAAAGCCGCTACGCTATCATATATCAAGAAAGCAGATTTTAACTTACCATTTTTGTTGCAGCACCCTCAATTACCACAGACGCCGGCTCCAGTGAAACAACCCCAGTCCATACTGAAAGACCCTTCACGGCACAAATATGGCAACCAATACGGTAGCCCCATCTCCTCGAGCACCCCCCAGAACAGCAATTCAAGTCAAATTCTCACCGTTCAGAATTTGACCTCCGACGTACCCCAATACGGCACAATTAGGAAAGAAAAGAAACAAAACGTGACAATTGACGAATCCTACAACAAAAGAAGTGAAACTCATGTGGTATAAACAAACTGACCTTGTGCTGTGTGCATTTGTATATAAATTACTAGTATAATATTTTAGATAGATATAAAAATTCATTGAATGTGATATACTGAAGTGCAAGTGTGCGTTTAGATAGAAAATAGTGTCTCAAAAAGACGTCGCGACAAACATTAATAATAAAAAGACAGTTTGAAAAAACATAACTCGTAATTAGCATGGACTTAAGTGAGTAACCGTGTCAAGAGGGACATTCTTGTACCGTGTATGGCTCGCCTTATGCATGAGTGGTTTAGCCCAATAGTCAAAGTTACTCGGGTTGTGTGTATGATGATACGACTGACTTATCATTAAAATAAGCCAAGATAACGTCCAAACCGACATTGTAGGTATGTTAATGACATTTTTAATTGTCCAATTATATGAGAAATCATTTTAGGAATTAGGGCTATATTGCATGTGATTTGTCAAATTGTGGCTTAAAAATCTCTGATATATACTCAATATAATTATTAATAAATGAACTGGTTTGAACATAGTCAGCTCGTGATCACGGCGAAACGTCGAGAGAGGTAAATAAATATATATTTACCATAAATTAATTCGTGATAAAATCCGTTTAAATTATTAAGGTATACTAAACGCAAAAGTTTAAAAACTCAGTATATATACTGTGGTATAAGTAATAATATATACCGGATGACATTTTTGACCGTTCGCAGAAAATTGGCGATTATATGCTATATTTTTTTCAGGCATCCATAGGCTTCAGTTAGTTTCAGACCATTGGCTGAAGGCTACTAGACCGTATACTTGATAACATCATCGTAGTATAAAAAACAAATTAAAACACGTGATGTAAAGTTTTCAATTTCTAATTATCTCTTCCTTTTTTTAATTAATTAATGTAAAATTTTCATAATGTGAATATTTGTTTACTCTATGGTTGACTGGTCCGCCATTTACATCTTTATTTGTATATAAAAGTTTTGATAAATAAATAAAATAAAATTCCACTGTCCACATTGTATTGTTAAAGATTTAAATATTTTAATTACGATAGTATCGTTTTATGTACATTCTTATGCAACTTTTTGACCGCGTGGTCAAAAATGTCATAAAGTATAACGTCAATATAGCCCCAATATTATTAGATGATAATTAAATATTTATTAATATTAATTTTCTTCTAAAATTCGATTCCCGCTAATTTCGAATTTTAAAATTAATTAAATAGAAATTTATTTTTAATTAAATTTTAAAATTCGAAATTCGAATGTTGAATTGTTACAAATGTCAATTAATTTGACATTATACATGTCAATATAGCCCCAATATTATTAGATAATAATTAAATCTTTATTAATATTAATTTTCTTCTAAAATTCGATTCCCGCGAAGGATCTCTTTTTAATTAAGTTTTAAATGTTCGAATTTGTATTCGAAATACGAATGTTGAATTGTAACACAATTTATTGGGAAATTTTGAATTGCCCCGTCGGTTATAAACGTTGTTTGTTTTTAAATGTTCTTCATGAACGTTGGGATGCATCTATTGTTGTATTATATAATTATTGTATTATTATTATTATTGTTGAAGTGAATACTTCATTGGCCCTTTCAGATCTGAAAAATTTGGTCGTGAGTTCCTAAAACCACCAATAAGGGGCCATCTAGATATATATATAACGTCACAGATTAATAGATACAAGTGTTGTGTAAAAAACATAAAATCCTAAGGGATCCTAATTTGTTTTTTTGTTTTTTACACAAATTTGTATTTGGAAATAGAAATTCCACAAGATTGAGCTGGAATTGAGGTCCTAGATTTTGTGACTTTGTGGAATTTATTTTAGTATGTAAAATACAAAATTTTAATAATCAAACTGTGACCAACTGTGACAGGGGAAGAGGGTAACTGTAACGATATTATTGTGACATTTATGGATAGCTATCGGTTAAGTACATCTACGCTCAGGCATAAAGAATGAAAATGTACTTAAAAATCAGGTCTGAAAGGGTTGAGGGTGTTGTTTTGTGAGTAATCTACATAACACTTGTTCGAGTAAAGTCAGCTCGACTCGCTGAGAGAGCGAGTGCGATATAGTGACCGCGTCACCGCTGTACTACACTCGCTGATGAAGTTTGCACTTCCATCGTGTGGTCTTCAGCACACAGTTTTTTTAATTATACGTGCTACAAAGTTTTCTTACTATTTCTTCGTTTAATTTTTATTTTGTTTAATTAAAAAATATAAACAACTATGTACTTTTATATTTTTTGTGAATTTTCTTTTTATGACTTTTAATAAAATATTCTTCTAAGTTTTATATCCTTAATGCATATTATTTCTTAAATAATTAAATGTAATTTTATTTAATAATTACATATATAACGTTTTTTTTTATTGGCTACATTGCTGTTTTCTTTTATTTGAACTGATTGGAAGGAAACTTTGTCGTACTAGATCGATTATATAGAATTTGAAATATACCTACATTTAATTCACAATTTCAGTGGATTCAATTCGTGTCCGATTTATTGTCATAATAAGAGAAAATATATAGTGTAATATATTTTTTTGTCATATATCTTTAAATTTAACCGAAAAGAACTGATAATATATTTTGTTGCAAGTAAACTGCCAATGGTTAATGTCATTTCATAAACGCATTTTTTGTAACTTATTTTTGTTTAATTTTCGCTATATGTTGGCATAATGTAAATAAAACAAAACACTCGAATAGCGAAATGACAATAATTATAAGTTTTATTTTATTATTATTTTTATTTTTATTATAATTTATACATAGCCACGCTTAAAATTACTGTATATAAATTTATTAATTATGTAATTTTTCTATAATGTCATTATAGCTTTTCTACTCAAAAAATAATCGGTTTTAATACAGATACCAAAGTTTTAATAATTTTATTTTTAAGTTAGCTTACTTACTTTTATTTTTAATTTTCGTAGTGTTTGTAACATGTTCTGTTGGAAAAAAATTGCTGTTTTCGACTGATTTTTGATCAATGATTACGATTATACAAGAATAATTATTAATTATTTCAATTATAAATGGAAAAAAAAACAATTTCTCGGAAGTCCATCCATGACGAAATACGATTTTTTATATTTACGGAAATGTTTTATTGTTACATTTCGGATTGAAATAAAAAAATGTCTAATTATTAAACTTTTTGTTTTATTTTCGTCGCCTGTTTTATTTTACACGATTCAACCAGTCAACAATTATTGAAAACATATCAATCAATAATAAAACATTCGTTTCGCTTAAAAATTAATTTAACATGCGAATTTTTTTTTTTTTATAACTTTCGTACAAGTGCCAAATATAGGTGAATTTTCTTGCAAAACCAACATTAGATAGTTAAAACACTGTAGCTGTGTTGTACGTCCTTCTACATAAAATAGTTAATATTAAAACCGTGCCTTATACTTTTATGCCACTATGAGGTAAAATATCACTTAAATTATTGCCAAAACCTAGAATAAAAAATAATAACGAACTCCGTTTAGATGTTAGGACATTTTCTTTAATTATTTTAAACAATTCGGTTATTGTTTTGCTAAATATAAACAATTGAGGCACCGCATTGTAAAATAAATGTTAACGAAAAATAAATAAGACTGATTTTTAATAATTATCAATTTTGTTATAATTATGTAAAATATTGCAAAAATGTTTTTTTTTTAACGAAACATTGTAATGTAGAAGTAAATAATATAATATATATACAGAAATTTGAATTTGTTAAAACTATTTATTAATCAGTTTAATTATTACAATTATTTTTTAAATATTTATATTTATAATGTGTATAAATTTATCTGTCATTTATATAATTATACATTTATATTTACATATATATATTATATATATATAATTTTAAAATCAAAAGCCTCCAATTGTCTAAATTACAGCAAAATTTTAGTGAAAATTAATATTTTGCATATATAAATAGCATTGCCTAATGAGTAATCATTTATTCGGGTATTTTATTAAAAAAAAATAACAAGAGCTTGTCATATTAGTGTTAAGTGCTAATCAAATGTTCAAAATATATTGTCAATATGTATAAGATAAATAAAATTGATTAATTAAACGTGTCAATGTTAAAATTTGCGAATAATTTAAAAAATTTACTAGTGGATGTGGTTTATTCGAAATTAATATTATACTTAAATGGGTAAATTTTGTTTCTTCTTTTTTTTTTAGTTTTAATAAGATAATTAAGAACCACATCGTAAAGATATTGTAAACAACTTCGGTAATTGTTTATATTGTTAATAGATCATTAATGATTTGATTGTGATCAGTGTTTAAAAAAGTTTAACGTTAAAAAAAATTAAATTAAACACTGAAGCAATCGAAATCATGTAATAATAAAAAAAAACATCTTCACGCTCATTGTAAGATATATCCACATAAAAAATAAGGTTGTAAGTTCGATAATTCCGAATGTGACTTTCATATTACGTACATAAAGCTCATAATTGTGTAATCAGCATAAATTGAATTAAAGAGTATATGTTAAATTAAAAATCTTTCCTTTTTGATGTAAACATCCCTAGCTCCGGGCCTGTACCTTTGATATTTAAATTAAAATTCCGAATGCGCGCCTGTGGAGGGGAATGTCGTATCTTTTGTGGAACAAGTCAAGGTCCCAACTTTAGGGTCTGTACATCCCTTTGGGTGATTTTGAGTCTTTAATCGAATACGGAGTTTTACTCAAACGACTTTATATTTACCTTGTCTTCAAAGTATGAGGGTATAAAATATAATCATAATGATCTCAGGACAATTCACACAGAACCATCTAGACCCAAGTTAACCTAGCTAGAGCTTGTGTTATGGGTACTAGATAACTGATACATATACATAGATATTTTTTTGTAAATACATAGAAAACACCCAGACCGATACAAACAATCATACTCATGAATACAAATGTTTGTGCCGTGCGAGGAATCGAACCCGCGACCATCGGTCGTAAAGCGGTTTGCTTGACCGCCAGACCACCGAGTCGTCGAATGAAATATAAATCATCTTTATCAAATATAATTAACTAGCTGTGCCCGCAGTTTCGTCTGAAATTTATAGCCTATTCTATTCTGGTGTATAAACTACATCTCGTGTACTGTGTTTCTGAGCAAATAAATTATTATTATTATATCATATATGTTATTCTGATGTATAAGCTACATTACTGTAAAGTTTCATTAGAATCCGTTTAGTAGTTTTTGCGTGAAAGACAACCAAACATCTATAATAACAAACTTTCGCTTTTATATTATTATTAAGATAAATCATGCCTGCTCTTAAGTTTTGTGATGTAGTAATTAGGAAAAGCAGACGACCTCTGGTGAATAAATTCAAACTCTCGAGAAGAGAGTTAAGAACTTAAGTTAAAAACAAATAATAAAGTTTTGTACATGTAACCTAAGAAAGCGGTAGGTATGAATGTGGATGGTAATGAGGGTAGAGGAAGGAAGAAAGAGAGACGGATGGACTATGTCAAAGTGGTAAGAAAAGGAGTGAATAACGAGATGA